CATATACACATCTTTTAATTGGAGTTTGTAGGTAGCTTCACTGGAAACCTTCACGAGACAAAACTCGTCCACTAGGGATCACCTAGGGGTTTAACGGCTTATTGCATATGCTAAATGCAATCGTGTTATCTACGAAAGTGATTTTATTTTGTTATGTTGTTTATTACTAGGGACTAGTAATATTTAGGTTGGAGGGTGTGATTAACCCTAATTAAGGCATAATTTAATAGGTAAATTGTGTTAGTTGAACAAAGTTAAACTAGTCAAAATAAATCAAATTAGAATTAGTGTGTGAATAAAGGATAATGCATTAATTGTTGTTCTTTTCAGGATTTTGTGCGTCAAAGCTACAAACTACTGGGGTGCCAATTATCAAAGCTCAAAACAAAGGGGGATCAAAGAATTCAAGGCCACCTAACAAGATTTTCAAGTCCACCTAACAAGATTCAAAGTCACCTAACAAAATTTTCAAGTCCACCTAACAAGATTCAAAGCCACCTAACAAGACTCTTCAAGTCCACCTAACAAGATTCAAGGCCACCTAACAAGACTTTCACCCTCCCTTGTTGCCTATAAATACCACCCCTTAGGACTTGTAAAGGATTCATCTTTTAGTAGTGGAAAACCCTCCAAAAGTATTATTGTTTTCCTTATTGCTTATAGCTTTCTTTAAGTATTGCTTTCTTTTATTGTATTCTTGCTTCCTTTTAATTTATTGCTTTCTTTTATTGTGTTATTGCTCTTTTACTTCCACTGCTTGAGCTTCCTTCTTCCCTTAGAGGAGTGAAACTCTTTCACTTTTCTAGAGCTTTACCAAAGCCGTGAAGGGTGGAATGTGATTCACTCATTCTTTGTTGAAGATCGGCTCCTTGTGTAAAATGTGTTACCTTGTAACTCCTCTACCTGGAGGGATGAGCATCACTCACTTTTCTAGTTTTAACAAAGCCATGAAGAGTGAGTAGTTTCTCATCCAATCTTGGGTAAGAGGTGGTTATCCGGAAGTTAAATTTATGCAATTCGTTTATGCTTAGCTTTAGTCTTTATTTTTTCATAATGTCTTCTCATCATATTGTTGTCTTTATTTTAAGCATGAATAGCTAAATCTCTTAGTTGGCAAAACCAAGAAGAAACTCCACTTGGGTATACCATTTCAACTCATTCTCCTCCCCTCTTTCAGAGTTCAATGGTTCGGTTTGACTGGGTTGAGGGTGGATAACTTGGTGAGTCTTTGATATTCCGTAGGCCTAGTCACGGTTTATGCTTAGATACTCACCAATCTTACCCCTAGCTTCCCACGAATCAATCGTTCATTCATGCTCTATTGGAGGAGGGTTTCGAGTTGAGATGGTATTCCTATTTGAGTGACCTCTTGGATTTGCCAACATTTGTTTCTCATTTTACTAACATCAAAACAACTTCACCAAACAACTTCCAACAATCAAAGAGTTTACACTTTCTTTCTCCCAAAATCACCTCCCCTCGGTTTACTTCCTTCCCTGTGGAAACGACCTTGGAATACCACTAAGTAAAACACGATCCGCGAAAGTCTCCTTGCGCTTGGGGAGCACTTTTGTTCACACATACTCACATTTGAAATCTCATTCATCCACCATTCCGTTGCCCTTTCTTTTGACATCATCCCTAGGAGAGTGACACTCCCCTTTATTCATATACTATACTTGCTAAAAGGTGATGTTTATAGGTTAGGAAACAACAAGAAAATTTGTCAAGCAGTCTGAGCATAAGGGACATAAATGCCGTGGAGGTACTGCCAACGCGCATCCAAGACATGTCTCGAAGTTGGAAGGACTCCATAATCAAATATTTAATGGGTGGGATACTCCCCGAGGATGTCAAAGAGGCCAGTAAGGTCAAACTAAAAGCTCCCAGATTCTGGATGTTCCCCGATCACAAGTTAATATAGAAGATCCTTCTTTGGACCATATTTACTTTGTGTTCTCGAGGATAAGGTGGAACCTCTACTATACGAGGTTCATGAGTTAGTATGTGGAAGTTACACGGGAGGAAGGTCCCTTGCACATTGGGCGATATCTAAAGCGTATTGGTGGCCATAGATGCAGAAAAATGTCAAGAGGTGTGTTTAGAAATGTGATAAATGCCAAAAGTTTGCTCCCATCATCCATCAACCAGTAGGAGACCTAAACCCTTTGACGAGTCCTTGGCTTTTATCCTAGTAGGTCATGGATATAATGGGGCTTTTGTTGAGGGCTCCTTTGGGCAAGAAATTCCTCTTGGTCACTACTAACTACTTCACGAAGTGGATTGAAGCCGAGCCCTTGAGTCGTATTTGGGACGTAGAAACAAAGAAATTTGTATGGAAAAATATCATTACCTGGTTTGGCATCCCTCGAGCCATCGTATCAGACAACGACACTCAATTCAACAAGCGGCCCATTTAGGGAATTTTGTTTGGGATTCAAAATACGCACCTATTATTCTATCCCAGCGTATCCTCAGTGTAATGGGCAAGTAGAGGTATCAAATAAGATAGTTTTGGCTGGGATAAAGAAGTGGTTGGAGAAAGCTAAGGGCAGATGAACCGAAGAGCTACTCAATGTCCTATGGGCATATAGAACTACCTCGAATCCTATGGGGCTCCGCACTATGCAGAGTCAAGCCTTCGAGTCAAGAAATAATGATCAAACATTAGCCAGGGATCTCGATCTGGTTAAGGAAAGAAGAGAGTTGGCATCTATACAACTAGCTAAGTATTAGGGGGAGTTGTCAAGGCAGAATCAAAAGAAGGTCCGAACAAGGGGCTTTCAGGTGTGGGGTTTGGTGTTGTGCAAGGTTGAGGGCAATTCTCGGGAACCCATTAATGGGATGCTCGACTCAAATTGGGAGGGTCTGTACAAAGTCGTTGTCGTTGGAGGCACAGGGGCGTATCAACTACATGACATGGATGGAAAAGATGTAAACAGACCTTAGAATGTATCAAATTTGAAGAAATATTACTACTAAGTTGATTCCTAGAGCCAAATTTAAAGATTAACACGAGCCTTGGGCTCTGTTTTTAGGGGTAAGGCCTCGAGAGGGGTAAGCCTCCATCTTTAGAGCACCGCCCTCAAAAAGATCAACACGAGCCTCGGGCTCGGTCGTTAGGGGTAAGTCCTTGAGGGGTAAGCCTCCATCCTTGGAGCACCACCCTTGAAAAGATCAACACGAAACTCGAGCTCAGTTGTTAGGGGTAAGGCCCCGAGAGGGGTAAGTCTCCTATTGGAACAAAAATCCCAAGAGCCATTGATAGCGCGTATGTATTGAATATCAAAAAATTTCCTTTAAAACCCTACAAGGCGGAATTAGGGTTTACCTTCGAGATCCCTTGGGATTGATCTTGTCTCAACATGAACGCAAAAAAAAACAACGACTACAGCTCAACGAACCTCGCGGCCTTCTATTATATATCCCTAAACGTTAGAATTTAGATGTAGTGTGGGTTACGAAGACCTCCGAATCCTTGCTCTCTCTTTCAACCTCCCTAAAAAACATGAGTAAAGATAAGATACTGAATTACAGAACCTAGACGTCTATGTATAGGCTACAACAGAGACCCTAAGGAGAAATAAGGACCGACCTCCCAATGGGCTTAGGATTCCTATGTTCAACCCAGAACAAACATCTTACAGCCCATTAATAATAAGTCAGTCTACTAAAGACTTATTATTGATCTGCTGGGTCTTATTTTAAAATTATATTCGAACTCTTTATTATTATATGCTCAATAATCTCCCCACATTTAAGATTACAGATGTCCATCAATTAAATAAATCACTGACAATTATATTTAATTAACTTTTTTTATTCCTTGAGACCTTACCACTAAACTTGCTTGTCATATCAAATAATTAAATCCACTTGTAGAGTTTGACATGGACAAAACTTATGAGTTTCCTCAAGAGGACATCATCAACCCATTTAATACTAGGACGTGGTTTCCTTTCATATTTAATTTCCACCATACAAATAACATCGTCTCTCAATTCATTGAGCTCATTGACCCAATATGAATCTCACTCTTTGATGAATTAAAGTGACAAACATTATATACACGTGACAATTAAATATTTAGGGATTAAGAGTATAAGCAATCATAATAATCATGAGGTATTTATTATGTTCTTAAATCAGTAACAGATAATAACCTCAATATGAGTCTGTTCAATACAGAAAGTGTACTAGTGCAATAATCCGAGACATCAAATAATCTCCTATAGTCAAGACAGACTATTCTAGAATATTACACTACAATCATACCAATGACGTGTCTAATTCTATCTACGATTGTGAATATATACTCATATTATACAAGGATCCGATAATCTAGTCTTTTGTGTATAAGTCAAACTCTACACACCGATTATCTACAATGTAAAATATAAGACACACAAGCATAACATATAAAAAATGTAATATAAATATTTTGCCCATATAGATTCTCAATAAAATGAAAAGAACAAATTTTTATTAATTAATAAAAACAATTTCACTACAAAAAGCAAACTTTTAGTATACTACTCTATCATCTCTATCCTTAGAGCATCGCCCTCGAAAAGATCAACACAAGCCTTGGGCTCGATCATTAGGGGCAAGCCTCCATCCTTGGAGCACCACCCTCAAAAAGATTAACATGAGCCTTGGGCTCAGTCGTTAGGGGTAAGCCTCCATCCTTGGAACACCGCCCTCGAAAAGATCAGCACAAGCCTCAGGTTCGGTCATTAGGGGAAAGGCCTCAAGAGGGGTAAGCCTCCATCGAAGCACTGCCCTCGAAAAGATAAGTCCCCATACTTGTGCATTTTCAAAACATTTCCCATGAACCTCGGGGTTTGGGAATCAATAACACATTATTTACAAGAATAAAAAAGAAGACAATACGAAAGAAGGATAGAGACTGCATTAATGAAAAGGAGGTTGTGCATCCTCCAGGCATACAAAAAAAATATTCAAATTTTTCTAAGGGTCTTCAGGTCCTACAGGCTCACCGAGGTCACCTCCAAGCTCCACACCGCCAAGCTCTGATTGGTGCCTTCTTAGAGACCCTTCATTAGCACCAAGGATCTCATAAAGTTTCCCAAACTCATCCCCACTTGGATGTATGATGGGGGTGTCGGGGACGGACGGATCATCAGTATGCATGGGAAGGTAGGAGAAGGAAGTCGAATGGTTACTAATAAAGATTGGCACTATCTCTGCTGTTGTCTCCCCTACTTCTTCAACCAACAATTTTGGTGGATCCGACTCAAAATTCGATTGGACGTCAGTGGAGGCCGCATATTCAGTAACTCCTTGCAAACTGTGCATTGCAAAGAGTTGGAAGTCGACAGCGACCCCTGAAGCACGAAGGGCCTTATCCTCACCTTGCTTGAAAGCCTTCCTTTTTCCATCATTGAAAGCTAGGAAGAACTACTCCTGGCACTCCTTATACACATCCATGCAGGCCGTGTTCAACCTCTTAGCCTTTCCAGCCTTGTCTTCATCCCGCACCTCCACCTTTGAGGTCAGGGCTGCACAATTGGCCTCGACTTTCAGCAACTGGGCCTCAGTAGCAAAAACTTTCTGCTCAACCTCCTCCATTCTCCTTGCTGTCTTGGCCTCGGCCTGAGCTTGCTTCCTCTTGTCCAAATTGGAGGTGAGGGCTTCGACTTTGTGGATCAGGATGACGATGTTCCTAGATTGATCGGCGATTGTCTTTTCCACTTGGCCAATATGGACATCCTTCTTGGCAAGCTCAGCTTGAGCCTTATTAGCTCTACTCCTATAGGCCCAAAAGCAATCAATGATGACCCCTATTAGTTGGCAAGCCTGAAAAGAGGAAGTAAATATCAAGACATAGTTATAGCAATGAGATGTCAAAGGCAGAAAAAGAGTTAGGATTGCTTACCACCAGGTTATATTGGACCACCCCTTGGAGGAGTTGATTGTCTCCATACTCATCCAAGATCACCATGTTGGCGTCAAAATGTAGGGTCCTACTACGACCAGGGCCACGTTAGCAGAGTGTATAATGGAGTCAAACTCTAAGACAACTTGCCCCCTTCTTATGATGGCTCGAGGGGCCTATTTGGCGGGACTAGGGGCACTAGGGTATCATGGCTCTATTTGACTCGGTGCTCGGTGGTTGGGTTGGTCTCCCGACCACGACGCTCTCTTTGCCAATCGTCAATCCATTTTGAGGGCTCATCTTGGTGCACTTGACATTGATGTTGGACCCTTGAGGGGACTTGTTGTTGTTGTTGCTGTTGTCGTCAGTGCTCCTATTGTCATGGAGGGGCAGGAGGAGGCACGACAATCGATGCCATGCCAAAAAGGACAATTAGGCCCCGAGATCAAGGCTCTCCTAGCTATAGAGGTAGCCTCTAGAATTTATGCATTGATGGGGGGATGCAAAACATCTTGACAGTGGGAGAATGTGTCGGTGTGGACTCGGAGTCACAGTTGGGATCTTTTTCGAGGTTCTCCTCTTTGTCCTCCTCTTCTTTCAAGGAATAGTTGACCCAGATGGAGGGATCAAAGGGTGGGGGAATCTGAGAGAACCTGCTGTAGTCGGGGCAGTAGTTGAGGAGTACATGCGCTGCCCCCAAGCAAAGGGATCGCTTGGGTTTGAGACCAAACCTTGATGAGGTTGTCAAATGCAACAGAGGCTTTTGAAGGCTAGGCGGCGTCCCTCTTATATCCCTCTACAAAGAAAAAACACAAGGTTAGAAGCAAAAATGATGTTCGAGTGATGACGAATTGGTGAAAGGCCCACTTGGATCCCTCAGTACTTTGGGGCAAAAGAGGCCATCATACTTAGATCCCTCACCCGTCTCCTATCTACCACCAAGCATGATGAGATCCTGGGTGCGGGTGCACCCTTTATCCAAGTCAGGCATGTGTGTCACCAAGTACATGGAGAAGTCCCGGGCCTGTAAGTAGTATTTGTCATCATTGACTAACTTCAAGTAGTAGCATAGCAGGATTTCATCTACCCCTAGGTTCACTCCCAACCGAGTGTTCAGGGGAACCATGCCCATCACTATCCTAAATAAATTAATGCAGCATTAGAGGGGGAAGAGTCTTAGTTGCATGAGAACTCTCAAGAGAATGGGAGAAAAAGGAAATCTAACTCCCCCATCCATGATGGCCTTAGTATGGAAGGGCTTGAGTTCCACACTACCTATATCAGCCCTATGAAACCTAGAGTCAAAAACAAAGGTGAAAACGGGCTTGGGAATTTTGTAAATGATTCTAAAAGCCTATAGGTTTGCATCAGTTACTTGGGTTCTCCTCAACCTACCTGTATCACTAGACCTAACTGGTGCCCTTACAACTTGAGTTCATCGTATGTTGGCCATAGAGGATTTCTATAAAGAAATAGAAGAGAATGGGAAAGATGAAGAAGAGAGTGTAGACTGGGAAGTACTTACAGATTGTGGCTTCAAAAGACTTACATGGGGGAAGAGTGAATAGCTACTCGGGAGGTAGATATAGGCTGAGAGGTCGAAGATCCAAGGATCTCAAATGAGCCACGAACTCCCCTATTTAATCTGACTAACTACGACATGGGCAGGAATCGAAGAGACAAGCCATCAAGTGCTAATTTGAAAATCTAAAGTCAGACGTACGGGTAACCGCCCCTAAAACCAAGGCGTGCTAAGGAAACCTCCACTCTCTATGCACCACCTGTCCTATGACACGAGGAAAATGGAGGCTGGGGGGTAGTTGACGAGACTTTAGGTGGCTTGGCAGCATTAAAAGGACATGTGGACAAATATAGTCGTTAAGCAGCGCAAAGGCTGCTTGGAAAAGATGTCGGGGAGTTATAACCCGAAGTGTCGAGTGTGCCCCTCAGGTCCTAGCATTAAAAGGGATATGACATCTCATTAATGGGTTCTTGGGTGGCTGTGACAGGGCATTAAGTGCCATTGTGCCAACTTGATGTACTGGAATGACCCTAAAAGTGATTATTCCTGAGTAGTGAATGCTCGGGCATAGGTGTGAAGCACTGAGGGGAGGTATTTAATGATCGAAGATTAGGCCATAAAGGCTCAGCTGGTGCCGAGTAAAGATTTACTCGCCCGAGGGAATTAGTCTTTAGGAGATTTGATGGGATAACACTCATTATACTTGGATATGAGTGCAGACCATTAAATTTTGAGATGGGACACAAATACCCTATCATCATTGCAAACTCAGGTATAAATATCTCTTAAAAAGCTGGTCCAAGGTACGAAATTTGAATCGATAAAATATTGTCCATGACTCTTATGCTGACTGACTTGAGTTTTCGAGGGGATTAGTTGGGCACATACTCGACCCCTATTTTTCTAATCCCTTGTTTTAGGTTCAACGGTACTCAGGATCATTTCACGTATCGCTATCTCAACTCATTGCAGGAATTCACCTGTGCACTTTTCTTTCTGCATAATTATGATTTGAAATATTAGTGTTTGAATTTCTATTAAAATTGGTGCCCATTGTTTTTAAGAAAATAATTGATTAACCCTAATTAGGATATAAATTAGACTTGTTAAATAAGTCAAAGAGGTAAGATAAACTAACTAAAAACTATCAATTATGGTCAATTAGGGTTTGTACGAGAATTAGGGTTTTACGTGTGTTATGTCTAAATTTTTAGGTTTTGATGTGAAATTATTGTAAAATACAAGGAATAAATTGTCGAAGCTTGAAACAATAAAGGACCAAAGTGTAATATACCCAAAGAAAGCCATCACACAAAGTGAATGATCATGCAAAAACACCAGCAAGGCATGGGCATCCAGACGGTGGAGGGGCATTCGGACGGTCCCCAAAGGCGACTGAGCTTTATCCCTCCACCTCCTGCTTCCTTTTTGCTTATAAATAGGGGTGTCCTCCTTCATTTGAACAAGGCCGGCCACATAGGAGTCCAGAGAGAATTGCAAAAGAGAAAAAGAGAAAAAGAAAGAGAGAAAGAGAAATTGCAATCCAATCCAGTCCGTCATACACTTCAGTCGAAACTCAGTATTTCTACATTTTTGTTGTATCTTTCTATTCGAATAGTTGAACTGCCACCACTTTTTGTCTTGACTGATAATAAAGGTGGTTGTGTTTTAGTTTTTCCTTGTTAAAGAAGTTTTAGAGTCTGTATTTTAATTTCAGTCGTAATGAAAACTACTCGCACTCCTTAATTGTCTATAGCAATGGGGCATGAGTAGTTACTTATATCTTCCAGTGAGAGGTAAACATATGTACAATATTAGTTAACTACTGGAAATGATGATGTTTTATTCATATATTTATCTATATATGTATTATACGCTTCATGCATGATACAGTGATGTACATAATTTTGGTGTTGTGCCTAGAATTATGTCATCAGTGCATCATGAACCTACTGGTTATATATCTACGGTGTTCCTATCGGTATGGCTTGTCCTCCACTGGAACGCTAAGAATGTTCTACTATTGCATGGTACAAATTTAAATTCCAGGTAAATTTAAACTTTTATAGAAAAGGTTAAAATGGTAATTTGTTATTATAGTACGGGTTGTAAACCTGAAACTTTGTAGAACTTGGATGATGAAATGGACCTCACCGTTGGATTCATCTTACGAAATCTAGTTACCCAGTTAAATTTCATCGAATTTCGGGATAGTTAAATTTTTTACGTTTTATGAGGTGGTCGAGTTTTGGGTGACCCAAAAACGGGATTTTTAATTAAAATTAAAAAATTGGAAAATAATTTAAGGCAAATTAAAATAAAATTATTTTGAACTTGAACCGAAACGAAATTTAATCGTTTCGGGGCGAAAACGGACTCGAGAAAAAGAGGACCGTGTGGCGTGTTGTGGGCCAAGTATTCTAAGGCTATAAATAGGGAAAAAATCTGACTTCTTCCCCATTAGATCAGCAGGTTTCAACGTGAGAGAGGAAGAGAGGGAAAAAAAAGGAAAATCTCTGTCTTCTCTCTACGATCTACAAGATGCTAGTGCTCGAATCCACTCGGGCCAAGAACAAAAGTTGTTTCACTCATCAAGGGCTAGGCAACTACACAAAAAATGACGGATTTCACAAAGTTCCAAAATCAAGCTTGGAGAAATCAAAGGTTTTGGGCGAGATTAGGATTCTTGAAGGCTTCTACCAAGTGGTTTACGCTTCAAGAGGTAGGGTTCTCTTCTACTTAGGTTTATTTACAACCTAAAATGCTTATAAGAAATGGGTGTGTTGATAGGATGCTATATCACTTGCCTATTGTGGCGGATTGAATGAAATGGGTATTTGAATTGGGTAGAGTAAATTCTATCTTGAATTGGGTATGTGAATTTGACACAATGTGATT